GCTCAGAGGCAGCGGGTTCTCGTCCCAGAAATGAGGGCGTCCCCACCCTCGGTGCTGTTGAAATCCGATACCGTAGAAAAGGGGTCTGTATCATCCATTTCGCTATATTCGCTCGTGTGATATTGGCCTGTAGTTGGAGATGGACCTCGGCGGGCGTGTTGGTGTTTTGATGCGTGGGAGAAGCCGAGTTGCTTTGGCAAGTGAGGTGAGAAGGGTGTGAGATGGCTGGTGTTGCTGTTGGGTGTACCCGTTGTATTGATATTGGAGGCCGCCAGAGGTTTGGTAGGTTCTGGGAGGCGGGTCCTTTGTCGTCGTGGGAGGTAAAGGGGTTCGACATGGGTGTAGGTCGAGGGCCATGACGGGCACGAGCCAAAGTCGTGAAGGAATGCGAAGTTGCTGTCGAGTCTGGGCGCTGGGTTCCCCGTGTCAAGTCGGAAAGCGAGCTGGCCGTGAGCGCAGGTGATTACTGCTGGTGCACTCGAAGGGTTGGCGGCTGTTTGCTCAGAGGAAGGTGGTCATGATAGTGGTGCGGGGTGGGAGTGATGATGGATACAGGCGTGGGGCTGACGAATTGCTCGACACAAACGAGCAGGGGTGCCGACAGAACACAAGAGTCGCGGCAGATGGCCCGACTGGCGAGGTAGACAGGCTGAACAGAGCGTTCTTGACTGGCAAGAGCGAAATTGGGGATCAAGACGGCTTGCGCTTGAGAGACAAGGAGGGGGGGCGCCTCGTGGATCGCGAACTGACGTGGTGGGCGCTGTCGGTACGAAGAGAGTCAGGAAGAAGACCTGAGGTTGAGTTGAGGCTGTTGCTGACCAGCAGAAGGCGATGGTCACACGGCAATGGTTGGGTTCAGGCGAGTCTGCAAGCTGGACAATGTGGGATCAATCCGCACATGTAGTAGGCTCGAGGTCGAGTCCGAGGGCCAGCGCCGAGGAGGAGAGTCGCGGATATGGGTTGCGACACGAGAGGAACAGAACTTGGAGGGGTCTTGAGGGAGGAGGAAGGGTCGGGATGATCTACTTTGGAAGCAGATCCACCTATGCAAGGAATAAGCTCAGCCCAGGGCGTGACGGCGCAGCACGCATATGTCTGTGGCAGAGAGACGGGAGAGGCGTTCCACGGAGATGATTGTGACGGATACGGCGGTGGTGGGAGTGTTGCGAGAATGCGTGTGTGTGCGTGTGTGTGTATGAGAGAGAGAAAGAGAGAGGGAGCTGGTGACTGGGTTATGTGAGAGTCGGGGAAGTCGACGGAGATGGAGATGATGGGGGACGGGGGGAGGTGGAGGATGAGAGATAGAGATGGAGGGGTGAGTCGAAGATGAAGTGGGATGGATAAGGTGTCCGGGTGTGTGTAGCAAGTACCTAAGGTAGGTACCTACCTAGGTAGTAGGTGTGGTAGGTAGGTGGGTGGATAGGCAGGTCAGGAAGGAGCGACGTCCTGGGTCATACAGGCAGGTACGGTGCTTCAGGGTGGTCCCCAGGCTGGCAGCCCACTGACCGAGCTCCCTGTCGGTACCTGGCCCAGGCAGGCGAGCAGGTGGGTAGGTGGGTGGACAACGGGCCTCGCGCCTGCGCGGCTCGAAACCGCGAGCGGTACTGGTGGGCGGACAGCACCTGCCCGCCAGGCGTAAACACCCAACGTCCACGGCGCTGGCATGTTGTCATGCGTCTCTCTCTCTGGCCCTCTGCCCTGCCTGCCCTGCCTGCCAGACGCGCGCATCTGGCGACCGTGACTGGCTCAGCGGCGAAGCAGCCCACCAGAATGCCCCACCGCGGCGGAACAGGCCACTGACCTCCAGAAAGGACCCGCCCGCGCCTGAGGCGGAAAAGGGGGGGGGGGTGAGGAGGTGACCGATGCTGGCCACGAGTGTACTTGTTCGCACCGCTATTTTTGGCGTGTCGATCCACTTACCAGGTGTACCCGAGTTCCTCACGCGTGTACCCACAAGGCTTTCTTTCGCTCGCCCTCAGCCCCAAATGGCGTTCGCGATGGAAAAGGCCAGGGGGGATGGGAGACAGCAGAACGGACGGGGGTGGCCGTGTGTGTGTGAGAGAAAGGACCCCTGGCAGCGGAAGCGAAAGGCTGGGGCCAGCGCGCGCTTCTCTTTTTTTCTTCCGTCAGTCGGGACCAAGGTCAGTAAGGTTGTCCTGTCCGTTCTACCTAGTGCCGCTGGCTGCTTCTTCCACCGAACTCTGGCGAGGCTTTCTCGACGACTGATCTGACCCAGCTAGCTAGCTAGGTAGGTAGCCAGGCTCCGCCCTCGACAACCTGATTGACGATCAACAACCGAGGACAACACCAGCATCCAGGGCCATTTTCCACTTCATCCCCTCGCCTCACTAGCTCCGACGATGGATGGCCCATCGCAAGCGGTGATCTACGATACTTGACTTTTCAGCCCCCATGCTCGTCCGCAGCACTTGATGTCATTTCCCCGGCATACGGCACACAGTCTGGCTTGGTGTCCCCTTGTGAACCCGATCATCGGGGGAGGGGGGGGGGAGCCCTACGCCTCCTTCGGCCCTATGTCGTTTCCACAGTCTTCTTGTCGTTCTAGCTCTGGTTCTGTCGTTTGTTGCGTTGTCATTCAAACCGAGCGACTCGAGCATTCAGTAGCGCCAATTTCGGCATGTTCGTAGCACCCGGTGCTTGGAGGGCAACTCTTCAGCCATCGCGTGATACCCCACCTCGCTTGTCATGCCTGCTGCCATGATCCCCGGCTCGTCAACAGTCGGTAGGTAGGTACAGCACGCAGACACTGGCAGAGTACCCAAGAGAAAGCCAAAAGCAGGGGACATCTACCTGCGTTGAAGGAGCACTGGGACTAGGGTAGGTAGGCAAGGCGAGATACCAAGCTTTCAGGCCACATGCTCACCCGTTGCTCGCTACTTCCTAGACGCACCGGCTTGCCTACCCGTCAGAAGTTTAGCATCAGGCTCACGTCGACGCTCCCTATACGAACCAAAAAAGAAAGAGCACTGGCATCAATGATGCGAAACTCAATGTTGTCCGATTGCGCAGCGCGCGCAGCACGGCATCACAAACGGAGGGTCAGGAAGGCGCAGACCAGCAGACATCATGTCGGTATCGGTAGCTCGATGACGGGTGTCAGGGGGGGGCTCTCCCCCTTGCCCCCCAAAAGCCTCAAG